ACATGTGGCTCGCAAGCCACGGGTTGGCCACGGCTGGTGTAAACTATACATTTCTTGAGACTGAGACCTGTCCTTTACTCTGTAAAATATCATGCGTACAGGTGATGCAGTAGTTATCTGTACTAAATAGCCTTTGAGTTGTGTGGCAAGCAGTGCTTAATCTTTATATAACATGTCTTTGCAGATGATGAGGAGTGGGAGGAAGAAGAGGAGGAGGATTCTGATAGCCGCAGTGATGACAATGAATCTGAAAATGGTGAGGAAAATTATAAGAAGACTGATGTGCATCAACCACCAAGAGCTAACGCAAGTGATGTTTTGCGGCCGTCTCTTCAGTCAAAAGGTTGGTTTCCAAAGTTTATCAGTTCAGATTTTTAAATTTATGAACATTGTGGCCAGAAGAGAGTAAAACGTAATCAGATGATATTGTAATACAGTCTGTGTACGTGGCAGTAAGATTCTGCGGTTCAGTGTAGCATTCTGAAAATGTGGGCAGAGAATCGCTCTTTGATGTGTATGAAGTAATACTTGTTCAGTGGAGGCAAGGTGGGTAAGGTAACATCTTTATTGGACGAAGTTCAGTTGTTGAGAGAGCGAGAGAGAAGCTTTTAAGCTACAAAGAGCTGCTCTTCAGGACTTGGGAAAGGTACTAAGAGTGCCACATTGAAACCATAGCAGCTGATAACTGCGCGGTGTACACATCCATATATGTTGATGGAAAGCAGTTCACACTGACCTTTAAAGGAGTAATTTTTTAGTATCTTTTCATATTTTTATACAAATATTCCAAAGATTCACTTTGATATAAAAGCTTGCATCTTGGGTTAAAAAGCACAGGGTAATCCAGTTTTCTGATGGTATTACACAGCTGCCGGCTGGGCAGGAGTAACTTGGCAGACAATTGTTTCTTGAATCTAATATGATCAGGGCGTTGCTTTAAAATACAAATGTTTCTTCTGTTACTATGTTTCAGATCCCCTACCAGTTGTACGAAAGCAACCAGTGTTTAACCAGAAGATGACTTTCACGAAATCAAGTATGTGGTTAAAATTCTGCTTCTCATTTACCTGTGTATAGATTGATTGTTGTTTGCTTTTGGTTGTTGGGCATTTGGGGAGTTTGTTAGCTCTCCATATGCCTATTAGGGATGTCAACATGTAGTTGACCACACAATTAACCAGTAAGCCTGGGCTTTATCGGTTAATCTTGTCAACTATACTCACTCTGCCCCTCCTCCCTCCCCCACTGCCTCTGCATCAGAGGCAGCAGGGAGGGGAGCAGGAGCTCGGTGCATGTGAGGAGCTGGCTTTAAGCGGGCTCCCCAGGAGCACTGGATCCGTGTTTGCACTCTTCCCCCCCCCTCTCCCTCCCAATGATACAGAGGCAGCAGCACAGAGGGTGACGGGGGCAAGCTGGAACCAACATGCGCATGGAAAGCCGGCTTTCAAGCAGGCTCCCTGTGTGTGCTGGCTTCGCAGACCCACCTCCCTCCCCCAGTGCATCCTACAGAGGCAGCAAGTGGGGGCAGGCAGGAGCCGGTGCTGAGGGCTCCTTAAAAGCCGTTCTTTCCCCAGCACCTCCACCTCTATCAGAGAGCGGCAGCGGAGGCTGCTGCAGACCAGCCCCTGTCTGCACTTGAGCTTGGACCCCCGCGCACAGGAGCTGCTGCCAGCCCCGCCCGCAGGGACTATTGAATAGTCATGTGACTGCTAAAATTTCATGCGATTACACAATTATTCAGCTACATGATATCTAACATCCCTAATGCCTATTTTGGTTATTTGTGCTTTTCTGAAAAAGGGGCCTGGGAGGAGTGTGGCTGGGCAACGGAAGCTGGTCTGCCAGTTAAGACCTCAATATGCTGGCCTGAAACAGTTGTCAGCATGCCATTGTGTCTTTCTCTGGAGACTGGGCAGGGCTGGCTTTGAACTCTTGGATGGAAATGTGAAATGAAATCCTTTCCAACTGATAATTGGTTACAGTGGCAGCCAGACTGCTGCTTTTATAGTTCAGCAATGAGCAACCTAGGCTAGGGAGTGGGCTTCCGTCTTCATCTCAGTGGGCTGCAAGATTGCTGTAACTGAGCTTGTCTCCTGGGTTTTAGGGTAGTTTTGCTAACTCTCTGCTTGCGTACCTAGTATTTGTGGTTGTGCCGATTGAACCGTAGCAATGCTTCGATTGGATGCAGAGGGAGTACATGACATTTACAGTCAATACTGTGTGCAATTAGCATGCTTCACATGCCCTTGGTTTATGTACATGTCACCTTAGTAATACCGGTACGAAAAAAATGACATTGACGGAAACCAGTGGACTCTGGCAATCCCGTGAATGATCAACAGTAAATAAAATGTAATGTGGGCTGCACATAGACCCCTAATGGCCCATTTGCGGCTCATGCGTTGCCCACCCCTGTTACAGTCCCTTTCTCCCAATGTTCACGAAGAGGCCAGTTCATTTAACCTGCTAGCCTGTTTTACTGTAGCATTCATCTACAAAACATGGATGCTATACTGAGGTTAGAGCTAAAATCAGTTTTCATTATTTTCTCCGCTGGATAAATAGGTTATAATTCTGTCGTCTTAATACATCTTCCTTCCAATCACTCCCACAGATGAAGCTGAATCTCAGGCTCAACCCTATAAGCTGAACCTGTCTCAGCCTTCAGCAAAAAGTAAGATTTCTGCTTTCACATCATTTTAACATATGTATAGTATATAACTCCGTGGTCCCCAACACGGTGCCCGCGGGGGCCATGGCGCCCGCGGGGGCATTTGTATGCACCCGCCAAGTGCTCGGGGCTGGCTTGGCCCCGGGCACATGGCGCATGCATGGTGCCGGAGCTGGCCACGGGAGCACCGCGAATTGGCTGCCCGCGATCTGGGCGCGTGGCGCATGGGGGGATCGCTGGCCCCGGGTACGCGGCGCTTGGGGCGGGGGGTGCGTTGGCCCTGGGCGCACGGCACTTGGGGGGGAGGAGGGGAGCGGGTGCCGGCCCCGGGCATGCAGCGAATTGGCTGCCCGGGTGCCCCAGTGACCCTGCCCCCTGGCGCCCGGCGGGCGCCCGGCCACGCCCCCTGGTGCCCGGCAACCTCAAATGGTTGGGGACCACTGATAACTCTTTTCATGCCTATCCTTGTATTCAGACTTCTTTTAACTATAATGGGTCCTGCTAGAACAGACCTACTTTACAAACCCTACTCATGAGAAGTCATATTTTCAGCTATCGGGGAAAATAACTCCAGAGATCTCTTATCTAATCTATCAGATGTGCACCTTAGTCACAGGATCTGCCGTCTACTCCTTTGCTAAAAGACTCTGGCACCAGTAGAACATTAGATTTGGGACATGCATAGTGTTCCATTCTTTTTTTTAATTAAATGCTTCAAATTCAGTTGTTTTGAAGACATGGTTATTTCGGGAGGAAACCCTTCTTCTGAAATAACCGGTAAACCTCGTTGTATGAGGAATAAGGGTTGTTTTGGAAGAAGAACGCGTCTACACAGTGTTTAATTCAAAATAGTGACAGTCCATGATTATGCAAATGAAGCACGGGAAATTCAAATCTGCACTTCATTTGCAATTTCGCTCAGCTGCATTTGCATCCCTCTCTCGAAAGAGGGTGCAAGTGTAGACATACACTCAAAGTGATATTTGTATTTTAAATAACTTTTCACAACAGATTTACTAGTGCAAGACTTTACTGCCGGCTTGCTAGCTAGCTGAGAGGCACATATTCACAACCCCATCATAATAACCTTGTGACCTCTTAAGAACCCTTGCATTAGCATCAGAGTGGATTTGATTTAAATCATGACTTAAATCACTAGTTAGGAAGACTCGATTTATTTACAGGTTTTCTACATAAAAGTGCGTTCTTGTTGGTTAATACGTATTCTTCACAGCTCAGAGACAGATATAAGTTTTATTTTTAGAAGGTACACACTATACATTTTTAAACAGGGATTTATTTTGAAAACTTTTCAGATTAGTTTTACAGCTGTATCCGAAAATGAATGATTGTTTGGTTATTTCATTTACCAAAAGTAATTAAAGCTGATAGTTCACCTCCCAATGACTTCATAAATATCTCCAATTCAACAGGTTAATCATTATTTGGAGGATTTTCTTGCCACGCTATATTTGGAGGCGCACATCACCGGACAGACATTTTAATTGTTTTATTGAACTAAAACAACAAACGTTCTGGATTTTTGTTCAACTGCAAACATAATATTTTAACAAAACAATCATATGCATTTTTGAATTTAGTTTAAACAATCAGGTTTTTAAAATCAGATTTGTTTGTTACAATTTGCTAACGAAAACAGTTAAATGAAATTTAATTTTTGTTTTTAAAAATATATATCAACTGTGTTGACCTGGCTGACATGATAAACTTAAAATATTGGCTTTTGCAGCTAATTCAGTCACCTTCACCTTCATTTTCCTGTTTCTTTATAATCTGGAAAAGAAAAACAAGCTTTCCTGCGCTTTTAGGTCCCAAATGATTTCTCAGTATTTGGAATGAATTAGTCCAAAGGAAGAAAATATTCTTTCTATATCAGCAGAAGAAGCTACTCCTATTAAGTGAGACGAGCACTTCAGCAGTCTCTGAATCCAAGTGCTTAAGTGACTTCCACCAGTTTACTGGTTTGATTGTCTTTAAAACATCATCAACAAACGTGCATTTCTTGAATGGTTCACCCTAAACTCTGTAGTTTATTATAGTTGGCATTATGGAGGGATGGTTGCTGGATGTCCATATCATACTCAACTCCTTCTTCAGGGCTGTGTCTACACTGGGCCACTTATTCCGGAAAAGCGGCTGGTTTTCCAGAATAAGCTGCGAGCTTTCTACATTGGCCCTTGAATTTCCATAAAAGCAACGACACTGTACTGTACAAAATCAGCTGCTATTCTGGAAAAGCTACACTGCTCCCGCTCGGGCATAAGTCCTTATTCCAGAACACTGTTCCGGAAAAGGGCCAGTGTAGACAGCCCAGTAGTCTTTTCCGGAAAAAAGCCACGGTTGCGAAAATGACGATCGGGGCTCTTTTCCGGAAAAGCGCGTCTACATTGGCCACAGATGCTTTTCCGGAAAAAGGGCTTTTCCGGAAAAGCAGCCTGCCAGTGTAGACGCTCTTTTCCGGAAATACTTATAACGAAAACTATTCTGTTTTAAGCATTTCCGGAAATTCATGCCAGTGTAGACGTAGCCCAGCAGTTAATGGACAGGTGCCTCTCACCTGTCCACAAGCTACTGCAGTGACAGGAGGTTGGGGATGTGTTCTCTCTCTGGGGCAGCCTGCATACTGAAGTCCTCATCCCCAGCCACACCCCCATCAGTGTTTAAATGAAGAAAAACAAAAATGTCAGTTAAGGATCTAAGCAACACTGGGTAAATCCTCTAGGTTTTTCTCAAAACTTAATAATGTGGCAAGTTTGTCCTGCCTTGTGAAAATACATTTTATTACTGTGCTTGTTAATAATTTAATTTTCTTTGATTAGATGTAAAGGTTAGAACGCCAGTAAGATTTTGAGAAATGACTGAGTCCCATTTTCAAACTGATTTGTAGCATGCTTAAGTTGTTCAGGTTCTTTTGAAAATGTTGCCATATGTCTTGCATTACCCCTGTAACTTTTTTTCCCAAGGAAATTAAGTCCTTACTCATTCCAGGATGTCTCCTGTACCTCATGCTGTCCAGTTGTTTATGGGAAAGGAAATCGGGTCTTTCCAAACTTTACTCTTCACTCATCCATACGAACTGATTCCTCGCTGAGCATAATGAGAGCATTGTTTGTTTGTTTTTAACATCTACCATTTCTTCCCCCATTCTCTTTTTACAGAGCCTGTTGGACAGTCCAGTGCAGGATGGTTTAAGATGTTGATTTGGGTGTTGGCAGTAGTTGCCAGTGTTGGCTTATGGTATGTCTGGAAAAATCAATCCCTAAAGGCTTTGCCGAGTGAAGAAATTAAAGTTGTGCAAGAATTTCAGACCCAGATGAAGAAACTTATGAATGTCTATCCAAATCAGGATGCAAAACTGTGGGAGAGAATCCAAATGTTCCTTGTGAAACGACTCAATACTACCCAGCCCCACTTGCAGCCTGCCATCTTACTGCTCACAGCTGCCCAAGAAGCTGAAAAATCTCTCAGCTGCTTAAGTAACCAGATTGCTGAAGCCTATTCCTCTTCTCTGAGTGCTGCTACAATCAAGATTGATGGGGCTGGCAAAGCCAAAATGAATAGTGACACTGTCAAACTGGAGGTAGATAATGAGCTAAGCTCTGGGTTCCAGGAAGGTAAAAAAGCTGCAGTGGTGCATCGGTTTGAGTCTCTGCCTGCAGGCTCCACTCTGATCTTCTACAAGTACTGTGACCACGAAAATGCGGCATTTAAAGATGTCGCTCTCCTGCTAACTGTCCTTCTGGATGACAAGTCGCTGGCAAAGAGCCTCAGCCTGCGGGAAGTTGAGGAGAAAGTGCGGGATTTTCTCCAGGAAAAATTCACCAATTCAGACACTCCTAGCTCTTATAATCACATGGACATAGATAAGCTGAGTGGACTGTGGAGCCGCATATCCCACCTGGTCCTTCCTGTCTGGCCTGAAAATGCTCTCCCTAAGGAGGGCTGCTTACAGATGAATTAAACGTAAGACGTGGGAGGAAAGGAAAATAGCGTTGTGGTATCTGGGCAGGGCAAAACTGTTCTCTGGGCAGAACAAGGACTTGGCAGGGTTATTCCATTTAAAGGAACTGGAGTTCTCTCTAGGCAGCTGGAGAGCATTAGTAAGGAGCACATTTGTCACGCTGGTCTCTCTTCAGTAACTTACTGGGCCTGGTGCTCTGTAGGCAGAAATGTCTTGTCTCCATTGTAGAGCCATCCATCTATATGTAAAGCTATTGTATGCAGTAGACCAGTTTCTCCCTGCTGAAAAGCTTTTTCCAGCTGTAGGCAGTACTTCCATGGGGTATGGGAAGATAATGGGGTCTAATGGATTTCAGACTCCTCTCCTCTACCTGCTTAGAATTTACCAGAATAACATTCACTTCTGTTCTCAGAGACTTAATTTTATTGATTGGAGGTTGGAGTTGCATCCAACCATTGGCTTTCTTTCTCCAGCTGACCACAGGCTTGGATTATAAGTAGCCTCTGCATGTGTCCTTGACTGGCTGATTTATACAGGGAGTGTTTTGGTTCTGGGGAAACTTCTTAAAGCTATTTTGTTCGATTTATATGAGCCTCCCCCCTTAGTTTTAGAGGCTGGAATGACCAAGATGCAAGTGATTGCTCCGACATTAACTCATCAGTTAAAATATATATCTTCAGAGCACTCAGGATCCCTCTGTTCTGCATTAAGTTTTTAAGACATACAGATCTCAAGGAAGAAATGTAAAATGTTCCAAGGCCTGCCCAGTCCCCTCTGAAGCCGAAGGTGTACATTCTGAACAGATTATCTTGGAGAGTATATTTGAAGAGTATTTTTACATCAAGAGGCTTTGTTTATTACTGTGATACACCTTAATCCCGAATGACTCCCCCTGTGTGTCTGCATAAAGCCTGCTGCTTCCTGTGTAACTGTTGAGTGAAGAAAAAGACTTGATATGCACATGTTGAACATATTTTGAGTGCCTCATGCAAAAATCCCTAAACTTTACCACCCATTAAAAATTATGTGTATCTATACCCTATAGGAGATCTGTCATACTTTCATGCCTCTCTGCTGTTAGTATCTCATCTCGGATGTCTCTTGTTCCAGATCCATTCAGCTTTCTTGGATTTGAAGAATGCACAAGACACTTCTCAAATTTAAGATATTGTCTTATGATAACTGCTAGATTGATGGAACTCTAACATGTTCATTACTCGTAAGCTTCATAAATGTATTTAACAGGAACTAATCTGCAAGGGATGAAAAATCATTTAAGTCCCCATTCTGAGTCATCCAGATTCTTTTCTGGTATGGGATTTGAAATGAGCCAGATTAATGATTGGTACAAGAAACTGGAAGCTGTGACCACTTACATCATGGATTTGGCCCTTCAACTTTGAGAGCTGGAAACTGACCACTAATTTGTTTTACATAGAGGTGTTTATACAGCAAAGAGACATGAAGGTGTTACCATTTTATATGTAAGACCAGCTCATGAAGAAAAGAGATTTAAATTTTACAAATGCTTCACTGGACAAATATTTTTTTTAAATCATTTGTTGCTTGCTATGTCAGCTGGAAATGACCAATGATGATAAATAATTGTAAATAATTTAAAGAAACTATTTTAGTAACCATTAGAAATAAATTTACCTATTTGTTTTATAACCTGTTCTAAGACTGCTTGTAGAATTTTAAGATATTAGTTTAAAAAAAAACAAAAAAACAGGCCAGAATCTTCAAATGTAGTTGCCTCTGAAAATCAGTCCACTTGGATTAAGATACTTGACTGTAGACTTATGTTTCTAATTTGGACACCTAAACTTAAAAGTTTGGCCAAGATCCTTGAATTAAACGTAACTCCAGAAAGAGCTGTTAGGAGAGGCGGAGAGTGATCTGTGCCCCATGCTCTGCCAGCTGAGCTTCCTATAAACTTCATGAAAATAATCTTTGACTTGCTGGGGGAGAGCCACATCACATTCATATAGATTGGGAATGTAGCTGGGAATTTCCCCTTTGCATTGTTCCGTACTAGGGACTCTGAATCAGACATACTTATTCTGAGTTGTAAATGATTTTTATCCTCTCCAGCTGTCCTTTTCACCTCACCCAGACACCTTGCATTCAGGTTGGAAACAAGGAGTTGTAACCTGCTTTTAATGGAGCAGGCACGGATTGTTGCCTTCCCCCCGCCCCAAGATTGAGGGAAGACTTGCACTGCCTGCTCTGACACTTTGCAGGCTGCACTTTCATTTCCAGTATTTTTTTTAGTGATTGGCAGGGCACGACAAACTATAGAAGCTACTTGCCTGTGGTGAGTAGATTTCAGCCACGCGCCCCATTCACCGGCAGCACGTGCATGCGCAATGCGGCTCTTGCTCATGCGCAGTGCGGGGCTGGCAAGCAGCTTTTGCCGCCATTTGTCAAGCCCTGGTGATTGGCATGGTAAAAGCAATTCACAAGTGATTGCTTACCTGTCTAAAATGTCCAGGTAATGTTGGCATTTATGGCGCATGTTACTAGAAGATATTAACGGGCTTTACAAACATTCATTCATTCATTCACTGAGCAATTATACGGGAATGGTGATCCACAGCCAATGGGAGCTGCAATTGCCTGTACCTACAGAGGTGCAGATAAACACAGCGTCTCGCAGCCAGCTAGTGGATTACCCTTACAAGCCATGACCCAGAGTTTGAAAACCCCTGCTCTAGAGCATACTCACCCTTGGAAGGTGAAGCGGAGCTGGATTTGGCTGCCACAGACCAGTGATCCAAGCCAGCAGCAGGAGCAAGAAGTGTAAACTACCACGTGGCTGATTGAAATCAAAGTGCTATTTGGTGTTCTGAAGTCATGCTAAATACAGTAAACTTCCGATAATCCGGCACCTTTAGGACCCAGGGGGTGCCGGATTATCAGATATGCTGGACTATCAGAAGGGGGGGGCTATGAGGGGTCTGGAGTGGGGAGGGAGGGGATGCCACCCCAGACCCCTCTATCAGGAGGGGGGGGGTATGAGGGGTCTGGAGTGGGGAGGGAGGGGATGCCACCCCAGACCCCTCATAACCCCCCCTCATGATAGTCCGGCTCTGCCCCAGGCGTCCCTGATTCAGCCGCTGCTGGTCAGTTTCAGCAGCAGCTGAATTGGGGATGCCTGCAATAGAGCAGCTGGGGTACTGCTGGGTTGGTCCCGCAGCGCCGAGGGGCAGCGCTATGAGACCAACCTGGCAGGATCCCAGCTGCTCTGCCCCAGGAGTCCGGATTCAGCCTGCTGGTGAAACTGACGCTGCTGGTCAGTTTCAGCAGCGACTGAATCCCAAGGCCTGGGGCAAAGCAGCTGTCCTTTGGCACTGCGGGACCAACCCGGCAGCATTCCAGCTGCTCTGCCCCAGGAGTCCGGATTCAGCCTGCTGGTGAAACTGACGCTGCTGGTCAGTTTCAGCAGCAGCTGAATGGGGGAAGCCTGTCCGGCTGCCCCAGCACTTCCGGGTTCCCGATGGTGTCGGACCATCAGGAGTCCCGGAGCATTGGATGCCGGACTAATGGAGTTTTACTGTAGTGTGTTTTAAGCTTTGTCTGGAAAAGGTGAAGTCTGGCATGTCCTCTTTAGTGCTGGCAAACGCAAACAAAAGGGAGCGGAATAAGTTCAAGTGCCGTAAAGCGATCTATAAATACTGTGGCTATTATTAGCAGCCAGGGTCTAGCGGAGTCAGTCAGGAGGAAAAGAAATTTTAGAACATGTTAAGTTATATCAGGGCAAAAACGCTGAGAGGAATTGTAGTCTAGTGTAAATTTAAAGGGAATGTAGTTAGTTACATATGGCTCTTACAGACAAATCAGGGCAATTGAGTTGTTTTTAAGTGATGAACAAATCCCCAGGAGATTATAGTGTTATCAGTTAAAAGCTGCAATTTCAAAGAGAGACTAAAACCATACTCAATGACAGAACTGATATTGATGGCTTTCCATGTCTAAAATGCAGTATTACTGATGGAAGAACTAGGAAAGGAAAAAATATACCATAATGAGAACAGGAAATACAGGATCAGGTCAGACCTTGGTGCCTAAAGGTGAAATGCATGTAATACTGGCCATAGTAAATTGTGCAGGATAATACATCAATAAAAGAGGAGACTGCAGCTCGTCTCCCTGTTGCTTTTTCCACTATTTCATCAATAGTTGTTAGCTACCACTTTGTTACCTATTACTGAACTTCTTGACCCGGGACCTTGCCTGAGTTTCTTTCCTCTGTAGGGAGAATTAAAAAACCATCCCTTTTGCTTTGAGCAGATGGGAACGGGCAACGGGGGATGGATCACTTAATTACCTGTTCTGTACATTCTCTCTGGGACACCTGGCATTGGCCACTGTCAGAAGACAGAATACTGGGCTAAAGTGACCTTTGGTCTGTCACAGTATGGCCATTCTTATGGCGGTGGATCCTTTCCTTCTGATCCTGTCTCCCCTCTCAGTGGTAACCTCATCCTCATTGGCTGGGGCTCTGCAGCAGTTCCTGCTATCCCACCTGTTAGCCCTGAGTTTGAGAATACAGCGCTCTCCTTCAGTGGTGTATGACATCACAAGTGCCTGAAACAATGCACAACCAGTCCATACACTTTGTCTTTCACATTCTGCTCTGACTGAGTCATCAGTGGTGTTCTGTGCTGTTACCTTGGGTGAGGAAGAATCTTGAACTTGGTTTGCAGGTTAGTACTGTAAAAAGTCTGACTTCCTCTCCCCCCACACACAAATGTATATCCTGGAATATGGAATCCTTACTTTGTAACTTTCTATGTGCTATGGGGCAGGTATTTAGGTTGTCTCATTTTGGTACACAAGTGCAGATGTGCATATATATTGAGAGAGATCTATAGGTAGAGGCTATAAATAGTAAATACACTGCTTTTTATACATTGTTGTACACCATCTGGGACCTAATTAATTTGCAGTGTATTATATACGGAAAGAGAAGCCTGCTCTTGGTGCTGCATACCGGTATGCATGTGTGTGCGCACTCACAATTAGAAATTTTGTACTGAGGTGTAAATGACTGGGAAGCTCTATGCTATATGGTAATCAGTGTGATACAAATGGGGAGCTAGCATCTAACTATGCTAAAGTACAGTTACTACTTGACTTTGCCTTATGATGATCCCAGATCTCACAGAAGAAATGATTTTCATTTTCTTTATATTTTCCAGTTCACATTTGAAAATTCTAATATGAACATTGTATGTCTTTTTCTGCAACTTGTTCTACACTGTTTCATAGTTGCTGTCTGCCCTGTTTTTACTGTTGGAGTTTCAGCAGCTGCATTTATAACTGAATGCCTGAACAACTCGAGTCCATGTTCAACAGGTGGAGATAACACTTTCCAAAATTCCTGGATGGCTTTAAAGAAACATGTCAGTCATAGGAGGGGGGCAAAATATCTACTGGGTCTTCTTTCGGGCACAATAGCCAGCTGCCTCTCTATTTTTAGAACAGGCGTGCAAGGAAGAGTATTATGAAGTAGAAAACTTTCCACTGATGGGGTGTTAAAGCTGCAGTAGTCAGCACAGTGTAAAATGAGATGGTGCTTTATGTTAAGTTCTCCTCTCCCTGCCACTGCTTTCTGGCACGTTGGCTGTACTGCTGCAATAAATTACTGCCCAGTTCTATTACCAGTTCATCAAAGCCATATTGGAACTGAGCACACTTGTTTCTTCTTCTGTCCGATATGACTGTACCCAGGTAAGTGATTTACTTTCTCAGTCTAATAATTTTAACAAATTTAATTGAAAAGGGCTAATTTTCACAAGAGAATTTACATTTCTTTAATTTTTCATCGTGTGTTTTCTCAAGTTTATTTTTTTATGTGAAAGCTGACTCTGGAAGCATTGTATTCTTTGCATTTGATTTAACATTTTGTGCAAGTGTTATAATTGAATTTCCATTATTAATAGAAAAGTCCTGACATTTTGAGAGTAACTAGCCAAACAAGGGGAAATCTTGCTGCTTAATTCTATAGACTTGAGTGAAATGACTTTCCTATTTAATGTAAATTCTAATGCACCTTATTTGTCTGGAAGATAGGAGGGAAGAAGTAGGGAGCTAAACTAACTGCTAATAAGTAAAATCAGACATATTGTGATAAACAATTTAAGCAGGCAGTGTGTTACAGAAAGTAATCAATAGGTATAGTTAACAGGTCCTGGCCCATGTACTTTGGTAAGGCAAATAGTGAGTTTAGTGCTTCCTTTTTCAGGAGTTTGGAGGGAATTAAAAAT